AACCAATAATTATATATGGCAGCCAAATTTGGGGACCAAAACTAAATAATGATTTTGACAAATGGGACCAAACAATCATAGAATCTTTCCACACCGAGTTCTGTAAGAGCATCCTGCAGGTGCAGAGAAAAACACCAAATTATCTGTGCAGAGCAGAGCTCGGCTATTACCCCCTCCTACTTAAAATACAGAAAAGATCAATTAAATTTTACAATCACTTAAAATCAGTTAACCCCCAGACATACCATCACAAAGCCCTAACATACCAGGAGCTGAAACCAGAGAAGAGTCCCCTCAGCCAGCTGGTCCTGAGGCTCTCTGCAGTAACATGTCCCCAACAGCCTCAGGACAGCAACACCAACTCAATCAGACCAAACCAAATTATCAACAAGCAAAAAGAAAAATATATTGATTGCTGGAAAGAAACGACCAAAACACAAAGTAAATTACAATGTTATCTGACCCTAAAAAGAGAATTCAAACTGGCAAATTACCTGAGCACAATAAAATGTCCTAAATTAAGAAAAATGTTGACAATGTACAGACTGAGTGAACACAGCCTGGCCATAGAAAAGGGTCGCCACAGACAGAATTGGCTACCAGAACAGGAGAGACTCTGCTCCCAGTGTGACAGAGGACAGGTAGAGACAGAGCTGCATTTTCTAACCTCATGCCCTAAATTCAAAACTTTAAGAGAAAAACAATTCGCAAACATTACAAAATATACCCCGAATTCAAATTATTATCAGACACACAGAAACTCCCCTATTTACTGGGAGAAATGCCCAAAAGTCAAATTATTGCAGCAAAATATGTCTCCTCATGCCACGAACTGAGGACAACCAGTGGAAACTCAGATAAATGTATAAAATAATTGATTGTTTTAGTTGTTGTTGTTTTAATACACACACACACACACACACACACACGTTTACAGTTTTATCTATTTAATTTTAATTTTAATACATTTTAAAGGAGTCATATTATGCCCCTTTTTCAGGTTCATAATTGTATTTTGTGGCTCTCCTACAATAGGTTTAGATGTTTTAATGTTCAAAAACACATTATTTCTCTCATACTGCCTACAGCTGAGCACCTCTTTTCAGCCTCTGTCTGAATCGCTCTGTTTTAGCGCCTGTCTAAAAATATATATTTAACCTCTATCTATCACATAATGTTAGTGTTTATACCTTAACTATGAAAACCAACACTGTGTTTTATGTCTTTCCAGGTACAGCAGTGAGCAGTGACCTACAGTCTACACAGCCCAGTGAAGTTAAACATATTATATATTACATAATATTAACAACATTAGTCAAGCAGTTGTTTCTAGTGAAGAAACAGCCAGTAAATGTACCAAAGTAATCAGAGTAATAGTATAATGATTACTGTAACCTCCCATCTGTTATATTCTTTATACACATTAGTTTACTGAGACCATGGAAACAGAAACCTGGAATACTTTATCCTGTACAACATGTCAACATAACTGAAGGAATCACTCATCTAATAAAGTAACTTGTACTGTATCCATATTTCATAGTCTGATATTTTAACTTAAAAGCATTATTACCAAAGTTAACCTTCAGATATTTGTAAAAGCTGCAATTATGTTTGAACCCCATTAAAAATACTGTATACTGAATATTCCATCATTTATATTATATACTGTATTATGATGTCATTTATCTTCCAACATAATAAAGTTTGAATGTGAGACAGTAATGTATTGTGTTGCTTACAGTCATTAATACAGGTTTAAATTCCACATTTTCATACTGATAGATGTTACACGAATCAGGTTTTCAAGTCTTGTACATCCAGGAAATCTTCATAAAACCTGAAATAACATGTTATTTATATAAAACCACACTTATTACTGAAGTTAAAAATGACCAAAACTCTTCTTAAAAGTAAAACACTTTATTTATATTTCATTCATATTCCAGTTACACATGTTGTAAGTAACAAAGCTATAACTTTTATGTAAACTGTGCAGATCCTGTCCTCCATCAAGGTTTATGGTTTCTAGTATACTGAAGTGTGAGCTGGTAATGGAGCTCTGCAGTCAGTGTTCATCTTCATCAGTCTTCCTTTGGATACCCAGACTGTCCTGATGCTGCAGCTGTCTCTGTCCTCTGATGGGTCCAGGAACACCTGAGCTTTATCAGGTCACCTGTAAAACATGGAAGATTCAGTGTTACTTGTAAGACAGCATATAATATACAGTATAATCTAATACAGTATAATCTAATACACAGTGTAATATAATACAGTATAATATAAAACAAGTACAACAGCTCATTGTGGCTCACAGTAGTCCTAAGTTATAAAATAAAATAATAAGCAGTGTCTCTGGTAGGTTCCTTGTTGCAGCTAACTGTAGTGATGTGTAGTTGAAACAGTCTGAGGTTACCAACACAATGTCTATCTAATGGCAGCACACACACACAGGACATTTACTGACTGTAGCTGATGTTGTAACAAGTTCCCGGTGCACTAACAGACATTCAGCAGTGAGCCTCAGTGTTTATAATACAACAGGAGATTATATGAGTATAGGATGTTACACTGGACCTACACTTATATCCTCAGTAATAGCAGTACTTCAGTAACGCTAAATAAACAGATCAGAAAACTTTTATTCGTCGGTTTGACTCCACAAAACAACCTAGTGAGCAACCCCAGCTGCTGGGTGCTAATCAAAGTTACACAGTAATACTAAACTAATGAATCCCTGCAGTTTGACTATTTCTCTCACTGTAGCTCTATTGTTAACTCTGGTGCACCTTGATCAAGTTCATTTACACACGTAACACACACACACACACACACACACACAGAGTAACACACACACACACACAGAGTACACACACACACACACACACACACACACACACACACAGAGTAACACACACACACACACACACACACAGAGTAACACACACACACACACAGAGTAACACACACACACACACACACACACACACACACACAGAGTAACACACACACACACACACACACACACACACACACACACACACACACACACAGTAACACACACACACACACACACACACACACAGTGTAACACACACACACACACAGAGTAACACACACACACACACACACACACACACACACACACACACACACACACACACACACATACACACACACACACACATACACACACACACACACACACACACATACACAGTAACACACACACACACACACACACACACACACAGTGTAACACACACACACACACACACACAGAGTAACACACACACACACAGTAACACACACACACACACAGTAACACACACACACATACACAGTAACACACACACACACACACACACAGTAACACACACACACACACACACACAGTAACACACACACACACACACACACAGTAACACACACACACATACACAGTAACACCCACACACACACACACACACACCTGAACGAAGCAGAGAAACAACGAAGCTAGCGCTAGCTGAGATAACGTTAGCACGTCAGTATAAAGTTACACAATAATCACCATAACTCACTCTCTGTATTCTGTTAGCTTCTAAGGAGGCTTGATCACAGTCTGACTATTTCTCTCTCACGGTAGCTCTATCTTTACCTCCGGTAAATTTACACACACACACACACACACACACACAGTAACACTAACACACACACACACACACACACACACACACACAGTAACACTACACACACACACACACACACACACACACACACACCTGAGCGGACAATGGCTCCGGAATAACAAAGCTAGCGCTAGCTCAGCGAGCTAACAGCTGATGAGCAGCTACAGTTTGTTCACTCGGAGGTTTTCTGTTCTTTCTAACAGCGACACAAACATATTACTGACTGAGCACTTTAACTAAATACAGACCAACATAAAGCCAATTACCCCCGACACAAAACCCACAACAGTAACAGAGTTACAGAGCCCCCCCCCCTCCGGCACGAAGCTCGGTGATTCTCTGTATAAACTTATAATAAACTTTGTGTGAATCTCTATAAAAATATCAGCAGGGGAGAATATGGAGACATCTGCACCAGCTGGTTAATACATTAACTTCACCTTATAAGTTTCATCTTCATCTTTTAACATTTAACAAACATTTAACAAATATTTAACAACAGCGGTTAGCATGTGCTAGCGTTACACGAACAATGAAAAACAAAGTATAAACTCTTAAAAATACTTACAGTGACTTCCTCTGCCGTCTCTCCACAGACAGTTGGTACAATCCCTCTTTCAGGAACAGTCTGTCAGTCAGTCCACTGTTGTACTGACCGAGGTTGTTCACACACACATTCCCGTTTTTCTGACTCCAGTCGGACATTGCCGTAAAAATAATTTACATAAATTTACATAAATGTACATATGTAAATTAGTGTTGGGCTGAGCAGCCAATGACTGAACAGTTTGTCTGCTGAGGCCTTTGCCCAGACATTGGGCTGCAGGCTGCTGGCTGGACTTGCTTGTTCTCAGCTAGCTTGCCTTTTATAGTAGCAATGGCGGAGCTCCGATAGTCAACAGGAAGTAAAGAGAGGTGGGTGGCAACAGGGAGAGCATGTGACGTCACAAACTACACATTTCTGAAGCTTTGTGATTTCTCTCCTATATTCTGACTGAGGCAGCCCACAAAAACATGACTGAGTCATTTTTTTTCACACTTTGCCTGCTGATAGGCCCTCCAGAGTCCCAAATGTACATAATCAAATGATTAAAAAGTTGGTTTTGCATAATATGTCCCCTTTAATATTATATATATTATATATTATATTTAATAATTTGTTAATACTGTTATATTGACAACAGACAACTTGTTTTAACCGTAGCCAGTTACTTTACTAATGTTTTAATGACATTTTTAGTAGTAGTTTTAGAGAGAGAGAGAAAGAAAGAGAGAGGGAGAGCGAGAGAGCACGAGTGAGAGAGAAACATTAAAATGTTGAGTTATTACCTTTTAGTTCCATTGACGCATTTTCAGTTGTTGTTGTTGTTGTTGTTGTTGTTGTTGGTTTTGTTGTTGTTGTTGTTGTGTCCTCACCTGAACAGATGATCACAACTCAACAAACTGTTCAGTACAAAACTTCTGCTGTGATGTAATATTAAAACTTAAAATCCATAAAATAAAAAATACAAGAATATTTGAGGTAATTATTAACGTAACTTTAAAAAAAAAAAAAAAACACAGTTTTGCACCAGGTCACATTCCTCATAGGCGAAACTTGATGGAGCATCCATCTCTGTGATATTTTGAATCCGGGACCGGACCAGCGCACCTTGTACTTTAGTGTCCAGCAGGTTGGCTAATGCCATCTTTTTAGTCTTGAGGATTTCAATATATCCTCGATTTCCTGTGGACTCACTTGTACACTCGAGATCCACAATATCAGTCTCCAGATCTCTGATAGATCTGGTGATGTCGCGTGTGACATTGAGCGTGTGCTGCTGACAAAAAGTTTAATTTGAACCTTCCCATGGTCCCACCACTGCCTCAGACTGACAAACTCAGTTTTTTCTGTCTAAAATCATTCCAAAAATAACTTAAAGCCTCCCTGAAAGATTTATCAACAGTTAAAACAGAGTTAAAATGCCAATAGGCGCTTTTGGGTAAAATGTTTCTGCAGGCTGCAGGCTGGACTTGCTTGTTCTCCACTAGCTTGCCTTTTATAGTAGCAATGGCGGAGCTCCGATAGTCAACAGGAAGTAAAGAGAGGTGGGTGGCAACAGGGAGAGCATGTGACGTCACAAACTACACACTTCTGAAGCTTTGTGATTTCTCTCCTATATTCTGACTGAGGCAGCCCACAAAAACATGACTGAGTCATTTTTTTTCACACTTTGCCTGCTGATAGGCCCTCCAGAGTCCCAAATGTACATAATCAAATGATTAAAAAGTTGGTTTTGCATAATATGTCCCCTTTAATATTATATATATTATATATTATATTTAATAATTTGTTAATACTGTTATATTGACAAGAGACAACTTGTTTTAACCGTAGCCGGTTACTTTACTACTGTTTTAATGACATTTTTAGTAGTAGTTTTAGAGAGAGAGAGAAAGAAAGAGAGAGGGAGAGCGAGAGAGCACGAGTGAGAGAGAAACATTAAAATGTTGAGTTATTACCTTTTAGTTCCATTGACGCATTTTCAGTTGTTGTTGTTGTTGTTGGTTTTGTTGTTGTTGTTGTTGTGTCCTCACCTGAACAGATGAACACAACTCAACAAACTGTTCAGTACAAAACTTCTGCTGTGATGTAATATTAAAACTTAAAATCCATAAAATAAAAAATACAAGAATATTTGAGGTAATTATTAACGTAACTTTAAAAAAAAAAACAAAAACACAGTTTTGCACCAGGTCACATTCCTCATAGGCGAAACTTGATGGAGCATCCATCTCTGTGATATTTTGAATCCGGGACCGGACCAGCGCACCCTGTACTGTAGTGTCCAGCAGGTTGGCTATTGCCATCTTTTTAGTCTTGAGGATTTCAATATATCCTCGATTTCCTGTGGACTCACTTGTACACTCGAGATCCACAATATCAGTCTCCAGATCTCTGATAGATCTGGTGATGTCGCGTGTGACATTGAGCGTGTGCTGCTGACAAAAAAGTTTAATTTGAACCTTCCCATGGTCCCACCACTGCCTCAGACTGACAAACTCAGTTTTTTCTGTCTAAAATCATTCCAAAAATAACTTAAAGCCTTCCTGAAAGATTTATCAACAGTTAAAACAGAGTTAAAATGCCAATAGGCGCTTTTGGGTAAAATGTTTCTGCAGGCTGCAGGCTGGACTTGCTTGTTCTCAGCTAGCTTGCCTTTTATAGTAGCAATGGCGGAGCTCCGATAGTCAACAGGAAGTAAAGAGAGGTGGGTGGCAACAGGGAGAGCATGTGACGTCACAAACTACACACTTCTGAAGCTTTGTGATTTCTCTCCTATATTCTGACTGAGGCAGCCCACAAAAACATGACTGAGTCATTTTTTTCACACTTTGCCTGCTGATAGGCCCTCCAGAGTCCCAAATGTACATAATCAAATGATTAAAAAGTTGGTTTTGCATAATATGTCCCCTTTAATATTATATATATTATATATTATATTTAATAATTTGTTAATACTGTTATATTGACAACAGACAACTTGTTTTAACCGTAGCCGGTTACTTTACTACTGTTTTAATGACATTTTTAGTAGTAGTTTTAGAGAGAGAGAGAAAGAAAGAGAGAGGGAGAGCGAGAGAGCACGCGTGAGAGAGAAACATTAAAATGTTGAGTTATTACCTTTTAGTTCCGTTGAAGCATTATCAGTTGTTGTTGTTGTTGTAATTGTGTCCTCACCTGAACAGATGAACACAACTCAACAAACTGTTCAGTACAAAACTTCTGCTGTGATGTAATATTAAAACTTAAAATCCATAAAATAAAAAATACAAGAATATTTGAGGTAATTATTAACGTAACTTTAAAAAAAAACAAAAACACAGTTTTGCACCAGGTCACATTCCTCATAGGCGAAACTTGATGGAGCATCCATCTCTGTGATATTTTGAATACGGGACCGGACCAGCGCACCTTGTACTTTAGTGTCCAGCAGGTTGGCTAATGCCATCTTTTTAGTCTTGAGGATTTCAATATATCCTCGATTTCCTGTGGACTCACTTGTACACTCGAGATCCACAATATCAGTCTCCAGATCTCTGATAGATCTGGTGATGTCGCGTGTGACATTGAGCGTGTGCTGCTGACAAAAAAGTTTAATTTGAACCTTCCCATGGTCCCACCACTGCCTCAGACTGACAAACTCAGTTTTTTCTGTCTAAAATCATTCCAAAAATAACTTAAAGCCTTCCTGAAAGATTTATCAACAGTTAAAACAGAGTTAAAATGCCAATAGGCGCTTTTGGGTAAAATGTTTCTGATAAAAATGTTACATAAAACCAAAGAATGATCAGTAAAACCAACTGGTAAAATCTTACACATCTTTATAACACCGACTTTGTGCTTAAAAACATAAAAACGATCAAGTCTGGCCAAAGAGATTCTGTTTTCTCTAACGTGGGACCATGTGTACTGTCTGCAGCCTGTGTGCATCCTTCTCCACACGTCCACCAGGCCATGGGAGGAGACCAGCTGCCTCAAGGCATGCTGGGATACTGGATGAGGCTCTGCATGGTTGCGATCTAAAATCTCATTTTCAGTACAATTAAAATCCCCAACCACGAATAAATAATCCTCCGGGCCACAGCTGTTTAAAATATCACTCATCTTTTCAAAGAAGTGTTTCCTCTCTGCACCGTTGTTTGGAGCATAAATGTTGATAAAAACCACATTAAAATGTTCAAAACGAGCTCTGACTGAAAGACACCTCCCCTCCACAACATGCCTGACCTCCAGAGAGGTTGGAGTAAAACCTCTGGAGAACAGGAAGCCCACTCCTCCACTGAGGGTGGTGTTATGGCTTAAAATCGGTTCTCCTTCCCATTCTCTGCTCCAGTCTGCCCCGTTTCCAACATCACTGTGAGTTTCTTGTAGAAACAGAACATCAATATGTTTCATTTTACTCATTTCAAACACTACTGCTCTCTTTCTTATTTCTCTGGCACCATTAACATTCAGACTGCCTACTTTAAAAACATCCATAATGATGGAGATGTTAAGAACAAGACTAAAAACAAACACTGAAATAAATAAAATTAAAATCTGTACATTCACCACCATTAAAAAACGAGTTGTTTCCTGACTTTAATCATCAGTTTTTTCAGTCTGAATACTTCTTGGTCAGTCAGCTCTGACTCTGCTCTGTGGTTTACAATGTACCTGGCTGAATTATAGAAACCCTGCATATCAGGGAAGTACTGTTGTAACATTAAATTCCTCATCCATCAAGACGTCAGTACATTAGCAGTATACACCTGAGCAGCAGCCTGCTGAGTGTGAGACAGGTCACTGCTGTCAGACACACACCCAGTGGCATCTGGGATAATTTTTAAAAATGCTCTCTTGAAAATGCCTTTTAAACTTCAGCTTGCAAGTTAAGGACAGAAAGTCTTGTTAGTGGGCTAATGCTATTGAGTAGGCTAGTGGCTAATGCTAGCAGCTAGTTGAGAGAGAGAGAGAGAGACCAGTGTGATGATCAGCTAAGTAGAACAGAGCTGGGTGAGCATTATAAACTGTGAATGTAGCTTTAGTGTATATTAGGATACACTTTGCAATAAAAATAGATAATGCAGTCAAAGCAGATTTCCGGAATTTTGTGAAGGCTAGATACATTTAGGCTAGCTAATTTTAGAGACATGAATGAGCCCCAGTTTATTCCACGGAGCAGTAAATGTGTCTCACACCTTTTCAACAGCTGTGGCTTAAGCTTTGATATTGTTTTATTTTAATTCAGTTTCTTTTGTTGCTGTTGAAAACCCAGCATTCAGGAGTGCACACTGTCTGATTCTCTATGACACATTACTGTTGCAATGACTTTTATGTTGGACCCTTTGTTGATCTATATTGAGCCAGAACTATATCTCACAGAACCAGTTTGGATTATCTGGTGCTAATATGGTGTTAAAATGCACTAGAATACAGGAAATGTTATCTACTTAATTGAAAATGTTCTTGGGGAAGACCCCCAGACCCCCTGGGGATTTATTTCCTTCATACATCCACATCGCTGTGTGTTGTTCACAGTCCAACGTTGAAATCCACAAAGTTCTCGTGGATGCTGATCCTAACAGCAAACTAACCTGTAGTCTGTCTAGTTAGTCTGTTTTAAGGCTCTATAATGTGCCATTTGTATGACATATAAAACGTGTCTAAAGTGCCCTCTACAGTGGTGAGGACCCTTCACTGTCACTGCTGTCAGATAGAGCTGCTCTGTTCTCTGCAGCACTCGGTTTACCGGCCAGACGTCCGGCTTTACCACCGACCTCCACGGTTAACATGCTTCTCCTCTTACTGCGCTGTTTAAGAGGAGCAGACCCCCACCCAGACTCACAGGCCTCCATCTCTTCAGCCTCAGCTACTGGGCTCCCCTCACTCA